CCTCCCCGCAGCCGCGCCCCCACCCCAACCCCCCACCCGCAACCCCTCCCCCTCTCCCACTATTTTCCTCTCCCCCTATACTCTACCTCTCTCTCTCCATATGACTTCCAATGGCCCCTTCCCCTATGGTTTTTTTTTTCTCTCCCACGGCCTCCTAACCCAAATGCTATCTATTTTATCTAGTTTTGATAGTTTTTTGCAAACCCAAGTGTTTAAGATTGAATTATTTGGATGTTTTGGTTGACGAGTTTTGTGTGAATTTGGAAAAATGTTGAAATGGGAGGCTGTAAGGCACCGTTTATGAATCATGATCAATAATTTCACCCTAGGTTCCTACCCTAGGTTCAAAACATCAATTGGAGCCACTTTTGTTCTTGGACCTACCCCAAAAAATGGCCGGAAGTGATCGGAATTTCAATTCAAAAGTCGGCCAAAACCTAGGGTTTCAATTCCACAAACCTATTGCGACAATTAAATAATTCCTACCCAATCATCAGCTAGAGCAAGAAAAATAGAAAAGAAACCATACCACAACTGTGCAAATTGGTGGCCGGAGGAGAGAGAACCACGCCAGAGAAGAATCTGCGAAAACTAGGCAAAATCCGGAGGCAGGCACAACGGTGACGGCGGGGAAGCTCTGGGGTTGGACGGTTGTGGCGGCCCGGTCTAAATTCCAGGGGAGTAGGTGGCTGAGGTGACGGTGGAGAGAGAGAGAGAGAGAGAGAGAGGGAGGTGGCGGGAGAGAGAGAGAGAGAGAGAGAGAGAGAGTTAGGGCAAAAAAACTAAAACTGGGGAAGAAGGAGGCGCTCGCGCCGTTTCTGAAACTTTATTCGATTTTGAGAGACGAACAACAAAAAGCGTTGCGCAAACTATTTTAAATGAATATTTGCGCTACGAAAGTGAAATAATTCGGTCACGCAACGTTGCGAGTCCGCCAAAATTTGGGATTAGGGTTTAGGGTTTGTGCGATTTTGCGTGACGAAAACAAAACATCGTTGTGCAAGGGTCTCTGTGATTCACTTTGCGCGACGAAAAAAGAACTCTGTCGTCGTGCAATGTTGTGAGTCCGCCAAATTTTGGGATTACGTTCTAGGGTTTGTGCGGTTTTGCTCGACAAACACCGGATACCGTCGCACAAGGTTGTTATTCCGCCAAAATTTGGGGTTTAAGGTTTATAAGGGGGACAGGGAGAAGGTGAAAGGGCTGAATTAGATTGCGCGACGAAGAAGTAATACTCTCGTCGCGCAAGCATATGTCATGTACACATTGCGCGACGAAGAAGACTAGTTTCGTCGCGCAATTTTGTTATTCGCCAAAAAATTGACCTAAGTGTTCAAAAGCATCAACTCTCTTCGTCGCGCAATCCCTAAACCCTAAACCCTAAAACCTAAATCCTACACCCTAAACCCTAAACTAGTTTCAATGATCCAACCGGCAAACTTGTTTTTTTATACTTCGAGATCGTATATACCGAAAATCGGAAAAAATAAACATTAAGAGATCAGGTTAGGGGACAAAA